CTGATGCCGAAGCAACCCTTGAAGTCGTGATCTCTGGCGCCCGGGAAGATAGCGGCGAGAGCGGGCTCGAGCAGACTGGCAGCCTTCACCTGCTGCTTGCTGACGCCGGTCTCCCAGCCGAGCTTGTCGATGTTGTGCCATAAAGGACAGTTGCCTTGTGGCTCTGAGCATCCCACCGCTGACTCTGCGGCCTTTCATCCTCTTCAAACAGTCCCACATAAAATTCGAACCCTAAAAATGACTTTCGACCTCGCTCACAATATGAACCCGTGGCCAGATACTTGTCGTAGCGGGTGGCTTCGGTAGCGAGCGAGCTCCGTCTTCATCTGAGCAATTAAACTCTCCCCTGCTTCGCACTTGAAACCACCCACGCATACGACCTTTCGTCCCCCTGGAGGAATTAAGGCCGACCTGGAAGTTGCAGACGAAGCCGCTGACAGCATTGATGGGAGTGGATGGCCAGAGGTAGTGGATGCAGGAGATGCCCCACCACCACGCGGAGGACCCTGCTCTAGAGCGGAGAGCCTCTGCTCCAAGATGGCGTGTTTGTTCTCAAGAGACGACGCGGACGACGTAGTCTTGGTCACGTCGTCACGGATGATATGGATACCCTTATATTGGTGTTCGGTAGCGTCCTTCCGCATGCCTCCCATGGCCTGCAGAAGTCTAGTCCCTGCACTGTCCAAATCTGAAGTTCTGCCAAGTACTTCAGCTGATACTCTAGGATCGTAATGGCCCAGCCGTCGATCCTTCTCACTCTGACCATTTCCTCCATCTGCCAGATCATGTTCGTCATCTCCTGGCGAAACGAGAACTGACGCCGCGCTTCCACCAGGCGAGGGAGCATGAGACATGACTCGTGCACGCGCAGAGGTGGGAGTCGATCGAACAAAATGTTAGGATACTCTACGGTCTGGAACATCGTGTGATCCATGTCCCATCAACCGAATTTGATATTGAGCCAAAATGGAATGCACCCGTGGAGGAGGTCAGGGGGGGGGGATATGTCCCACCCCCAGGAAGACGGGGAGGGGGGGTAGGAGGAGGGGGAGGGGAGGGGGAGTAGGGGGAGGAGGAGTAGGGGGAGGAGGAGGAGGAGGAGGAGGAGGAGGACGAGGAGGAGGACGAGGAGGAGGACGAGGAGGAGGAGGTGTAGGAGGAGGTGTAGGAGGAGGAAGAGGAGGACGAGGAGGAGGAGGAAGAGGGGGGAAGAGGCACGGACCCTCATCCTCAACGCCGACACACGCAGGTGAAAGTCTGGAGGCCCCCGGAAGCCGAGGAGCATCCTGGAGCCTCGGGCCTGGAACATGGAACCTCAATCCTCAAGCCTCGTCCAAACCCCTCGATCCTGCTTCGTTGAAATACGATGAAAATCAAGCCCCTTATTCTCAAACCACGTCCAAAGCCCGCGACCCTCGAACATCGATCCTCGAACCTCGCCGAAAGACCTGGACTGCCAAACCTCTAGGTCATACCCATGTAGCTTCTTCAAGACCTCGATCCTCGCACCACGACCCTCGCAGCGCATCAAACATTTTATTTGAAGAGGGCGAACAAGATATGATGACACAGCTGTTGACTGAGTGTCCCCTGAGGCGCGTTCAGCCCAGCAATTCCGAGGCGAATCCAACCGCGGTGACCAGGGCATCCCGTCCCGAAAACTCCCAGCCATTCGAAAACGGACAAGGACAAGTGGTGGCAGCGGCTTCTCCAGACCCCGACGTCGCGATTCTTGTCCACAGCGTGAAAAACTCGGTGGTCTGGTCCCTTTGCCCATGACTTTTTTTCCACCGGACGAGCCACCAACATGATGCCTCCACCTGCGAGCACTGCACACCACTGCAGCCACACTGCGCCGCAGCGTGAGACGGAGGAGCGGATGGAACGGACCTTTTGCCCACGACTGACTGTTCAGATCCTTTCCTCTTGGGGGGCCGCCCTGGGGACATGGTAGGGGCCCTCAGAGGCCGAGAGCTGTCAGGAAAACTCCCACTGTTATTCAACAACGACACGAAGAGGTCTCACGTCTGGGTCTGGCTTTTCCCCGAACCTCGATCCCGGCTCAGTCAGAACCGAATATGGAAAATGTATCGAATCAGACTGTGCGTCGGATCGGGCTGCATCGGCACGGATTCGAAACCGAATCGGAACCGCTGCGACAGGATGCACTGCAGAAAAACCACGTAACCGTCGGGCCGAAGTGGACCATCGGGATATCGGAATGCAATCGATCGAGCCAGCCGACATCGATATCGGCTCAAATCGATCTAGAGGACAGAAGAACAACACTCGTTAGAAGCACCCGTGCAGCTTTGTGGTGAACGCAGGTATCCGCCACGGCGTCGCGAAGAAATGAGTGGAGAACTTACCCCCAGGTCCTCAAGAGTCCTGGAACCTCAGCATTGGATAGTTACAGACGAGCGCGATCCACAACTCGCAAAGTAGCTACTCGCGAATGACCTGGATTCATTGCATTGAAGCAAACAAGAACCATTGCATCGAACAGCCATTATGTCTGGGACGTTTGCGAGTGGGCCCTTTGCGAGTAGTGAAACGCGCTCGGTGAGTTTGGAACATCCTCCGAAGGGGCGGGGCTGCCCCGACTCACGGGCTCTCTGGTGGTCTCCCGCGATCCCGCAGAATCCGTGGGGCTCGTCGCCGACTTGTCTCCCCGAGGCCAGAGGGCCCGAACACGGGCCACCAGGGCCTCGAGGGACGGCCCAAGAGGCCCCTGCCACGGACCAAGAGCGCCCCGAGGCGCCCGAGGGGGGCAGCAAGACAGCCCAAAGGGGTCCCCAAGACGCCCAGTGAGGGGCCCAAAAGGATCCCAAGAGGGCCTCCAAGAGGCACAAGTCACCTGCTTCCAGTGGTCTTCGAACGGTTTAGCTCTAATGCAGCCCAAGAGGCCTTAAAGGTCGCCCAAAGGCAACCCAAAGGGCCCCAAAGATGAAGTCCCCCGCCCCAAGATGGCCCCCGAGACCGCCCGCAGGCCCCCAAGAGCCACCCCCCTCCCCGAGAGGCCCCAGAGTCTCCCTTGACGACCCAAAGAGGCATCCCCAGAGATCCCCGGATGCATTCCGGAAACATCCGGGCGACGATCAAAAACGGGTCTTGTGCGAGATGGAGCAGCGACCTTAAATGGTGGCTTACGCGGGCCGCCGGCGCTTTACGCCACATTGGAGACGGGGGCGCGGGCCCCGTCCTCTGGGCTCCCCACCGTCAGCCCGCAAAGCAAGGATGGGCAACCTTCCAAAGGCTACCCTCGCATCATTGCCCCTTCGGCCCATCCTCAGCGACTCTCGCTGGCCAACCCCGTTCGAGCCACGTCCGCATGGGCCTCCAAGGCCCTCTGCATCCTCACTTACTGCGCATCCTGGTGATACAGTCGGACTCGATTGGAGAGGACACGCGAGGACACAAGACCCTTCCGGGGGCCATTTTGCCACAGAAATGCAGGAGGCATGGGTCGCAAGACACAGGACACGAGGGCACCCTTGATCTGGCAGGGTCGACCTACCAGTCCGGGCCGCCTGTACGGGCCGACTGCATCCCCACGACCTCCGATCCGCCAGCGACCTCGGGCCACGGAGAGGGCCCCCTGACGAGCCCCCGCCCCCCCCCGCGCGCGCGGAGGCCCCGCGGCCTGGGGCCCGAGGCTCGGCCGCGGGCCCGAGGGGCCGGCCGCGCGGCCGCGCGGCCCCGCCCGCGCCCGGCGGGCGGGGCACCCTGGGCCAGAAGGTGCCCAAGGCGAGAAGACCGGCCTTCTAGACTCGGACGAGGAGGAGGAGGAGGAGGAGGAGGAGGAGGAGGAGGAGGGGGGAGGAGGAGGAGGAGGAGGGGGGAGGAGGAGGAGGAGGAGGAGGAGGAGGAGGAGGGAGGGAGGAGGAGGAGGAGGAGGAGGAGGGAGGAGGAGGAGGACGAGGAGGAGGTACCAATACCTTCGACTCGATCGTAACATTGAAGTCATGGAGGGCCTGGCCTCGAAGCCCAGGCGGGCCTCGGGCCTCGGGCGGGCTCTCAGAGTCGTCGGGCCCGAGTTCGGGCCCGGCCCGGGCTCGGGCTCCACTCGAGTCCGGGCTCGGGCCCATCGGGCGACCCGAGGGCGGGGGGCCCCTGCAAGCAGAAAAGACGGCACAGACCGAAACGTTTGGCGCTCCGCGCGGCGTTCTCTCTGGATCCGCGCTGGGCCCCCCACCCTGGCGCCTCCAGCGCCGCCCCTGGCGCGCTCCGCGCGCCAGGGAAGGGGGCCCAGCGCGGATCCAAAGAAACCCGCGCGGAGCGCCACAAGTTTCTGGTTACATCGTTTTTTCATATTCGACACCCTGAACGTCAGAAATCAGGCGTCTTGAACAAAAACATCCTCGTTTGGGGCCTCTCGGGGCCCTCACCGGGCCTCGGGGCCGTCAACAAAAAAGAAGCGGGAGGAGAAGCCAATCCTGGGCGAAACGGTGTTGAAATGGGGGCCTGTGCCTCGACTAAAAAAAACGAAAGCCCGATGCCTGGAACACTGCGTGACAAACCGCGCGGTGAGCCGGAATACCAAGAGGCCCCACCACGCGATCCGTCACCGCACGGTCTTGGGGCCTCGGAGGCCCTGGAAGTCCAAGACGTCGCCGAAAAGCGACCCGAGTCCCAAAACCACGCTGTGACTCACCACGCAGCGTGGCCACGTGGTCACCACATCGTCTGGGGGCCCTCAATCCACATCGTTCCGAACGGCCGCCGGAGACATCCGAGATGGCCCGAAGGCGACGGAGGAGGAGGAGGAGGAGAAGGAAGAGGAAGAACGACACGCTACTCTTGGACGGGAGAGGGGGGGGAAACGCAACAGGAACGCCAGAACGAATGGAGCCGACAAAATGTTCCTGGAACCATGAAACATGGGGCCAAGGACAGCAGCACCAACACCAGAAACAACAATCAGATCAAGACTGCTCGCCCGTATCTGCTCGACTGTCATGCAATGTGAAAATCCCAAACCCTCGATGCCCGCCCTTTTGGGGTATATCTTTCTTCCCTGCAGGCTGGGCCCCGGCGAGCGCCAGGGCGGCCGCGGACCGTCGGCCTGGCCAGCGGCAGCGCTGACGGGCGGCAACCCGATCCCAAGAGGGACGGGCGGGGGACCAACCACGACGACGACGACAACGACGACGACAGGGAGGGAGGAGGAGGGGGGAGAAGGACGAGGAGGACACGGACGAGAAACAGGAAGAGGAAGAGGAAGAGGAGGAGGCGGAGGAGGAGGAGGAGGAGGAGGAGGAGGGAAGGACAGAGGGAGGGAGTCAAGAGGAAGGAGGGGGGAGGGCAAAGAGAGCGCTGCAGGGCCGACAGGCAGGCAAGCAGCAGGCCGCGAGGCAGTTGCTCGGTCTGTCGGCTTGGCTGTCTGAAGGGCCGGCGGGCCAGCCCCCGGCGGCAGGCGGGCCCAGGGGGGGGGGCGGGCGGGGACGACGACGACGACGACGACGACGACGACGACAAGGTTTAAGTCGGGCATGTCCCCCTACAGGCGGGCTTTGGGCGAGCAATGAAAAAATACTCAAAAACAAGATCCAAAATAGCCAGCAAAATATTCACAATATCGTCACCAGACTATCTTGCATGATGTTAGAATATTCCTCCTGTAGAGGGACATGGCCGACTTAAGAAAAGGCGGGGGAGGGAGGGCGAAGGCCAAACGGGACGCCTGCTGCCGATCATTCACGAACTCTGAGGGGTCTGAATTAGACCAGATTCACTGCAACAAGCTAGCGTTCTCGGTTCGGGGCTGCACTGCCCCCATCAAGGGCACGCTAGGGGAACATCAGGGGCCCTCCGAGTGACCAGGGCCACTGGCTCTTCCCCGACCCCGAACTCTTTCACTTCTCTGCAAGATGACGGTGGGCGCCTCGCGCCCCCTCCCGCCGCTACCCCCCTTTCAGAGCCCTGAAATCTTTACAAAAAGTTCGCAGGTAGACGCCCCGAATTCACTAACCCCTGAAGTCTAGAGCTCGACGCCAACAAGAGGGGGGAGGTCCCCCTGCCCCGTCCGTTCGACGCCGAGACACGGTTCAGGCTTCCTCTCCCCCCCGCAGCGGCAGCAGCAGCAGCCCCCCCCCCCGCCTCCATCTCCTATAAAGACTCGCCTCTGGGGTGTCCTACTCCACCTCACGACACTGCGGCAAGGAGGCGAGCGGCATCCCGCTCGAGCGGGCCCCTCGAGGCGGACCCTGCCTTCCTCACCACCGTCATCCTGTGCGTGCAATCTCTCGAAGGTGCACATCTCGGACGTCGCGCGGTCGAGGCAGGCCACGAGGCGGCCCTTGCCCACGGGGCCCGCTGGGCCCTTGTTCCTCTTCCATTCGAAATGCGGGATCAACTCGGCCAACTTCTGGGGGTTCGACGGCTGGACGATTTTGCGGTAGAACTCTTCTTCGACCGACTCCTGGCCCGCGACCAACATCACGAACGCCACGAAGATGTGTACACGCGGGGACCCTCGACTTTCGTAGTCTGGATTATCTCCGTCGTCTTCCTGTTTTTTTGAAGGCCCTGGACTCTTCGTTGTATGCTTCCCCTGCGTCCTCCAGCACTTTGTGGAGTACGTCTTCTCCCCATGGTACGTCTACCTCATGCGTCATGCACACTGTGCTGGTGAGTTCTGCGGGCTCCCTCGAGTTCGCCAATACAAGGCGCGTCAGGATCATCAGCAGCTCCCCGGGGGTGGGGCATTCTCGCTTCTTCGCGGCTGCTGCGACCTCGGACTTGAGCTTCTTTGACTTGTTCTCCCCGTCGCCCGACGCGGGTGCTCTCTTCAGCTAGGCCGGCGCCTCGAGGGGCATCACGAGATCGAACGCCAGAAGGAGGCTGGACAGGACGCGGCAAATGCTCGAGCAAATGGACACGGAAGGCCTCAGGATTCCCGGACGTCGCCTTGCACAGCACACACCCCAAGGAAAACGGCCCCGCGACCCCCCGAAACGCGGCGCCCCCCTTCGTCGGACACAACCCAAAAATCCTACCAGACGCAAGGCGTCGGGCAGCCGTGATCTCACTTTGGAACGCCCCTCGACGCACAATGCATTGGTTCGCACACGTCAGGACATGCGCCAGCGAGCGACCGTGGCGGCACGCGCGACGGCGGTTCAACAACTGCGCCCTCGTCTTAGAGCCCGCGTTACACACTGCCCCGTCATCCCCCTTCCAGCTTCACGCCCACGATTCGACCTCCTCCCCTCCTTCCAGCCACTCACGGCCATCACTCTCAGCACGTAACGGGGGCTGAAAACCAAGTGGGGGGATACACTTTCTCATCGGCCGCCAACGGATCTCCGCGAAGTCGAGTCGGAGAGACTCTCGGGCAATCTCTGACTCCACAATGCGAGACGGGTCCACGGACAGCAGGGGCAAGACAGACGGCTCATCCACCAGCGCACTGGCCATCTGGAAATCCTCGGCCATCCCACGAGCCAGCGGGGAAGCCGCAGGTGAGAGCCCCGAAGGTGTCCGCGGGATAAAACTTGATGTCTGACACACCAACCGCCCAAAGAGAGCCCCACGTTCTTGACTATGTTGGTCAGGCTTTTTGCCCATCCCCGGCACCACCGAAGCCTACGTGCGAGCACCTCGATATCGGACGATACGAGCTTCCAGTGGTCCAATGACTCCTCCGCCCCCAGCTCCTGATCTCATCGCCCTCCCTGTCGCGCGCCTCTCCCTGTAGAGCCACCCTGCAGAAATATCCCAACTTACTATCGAGCTGTTTGAACTGCGATTTCGTCTTCAGCATGGGTTCGAGCCCGCTAAATAAGGCGTTTGAGGTAGACTAATGAGCAGGCATCTCTTGAATTTCCAGGGAAGCGATAGTTGCCAAATACCTCCAAGGCCCCAGAGGGCACTCGAAGCTGAGTTCAAGCGATATTGGAGCTCAAGCCCCGTTCTTCCATCGAGGCTCACCCCAGGGCCCCGCCACCGCGTTTCTCGTTTAATACTGCCTCCCAAGACTCCAGGAATCTGTCTGTTTTTTTGCGGGGGAGAAGGAGAGGAAGAACGAAGAAGAAGAAGAAGAAAAATCCATATAATTTTTTATATTAAACAATAATATGTTTATATATATACATATGTTTATTCTTTTGCGTAATTATATATTTATATATATAAAGAGAGACAAAGAGAGACAAAGAGAGAGAGAGAGAGAGAGAGAGAGAGAGAGAGAGAGAGAGAGAGAGAGAGAGAGAGAGAGAGAGCACATGCACCCCCGATCCTGGCTAGGAAATCCTGCTCTGAGACGTTCTGGGCATTTCCAACCTTCTCCAGCTCCAAATTATGTATGGAATATGAAATGACTAGCTGCTGAACAAAATCCTTCAACTGGCACTCTGGTGGCGCCACGTCGCACTTCCACAGGTCATCTGCCAATTTCCACAAAGACAAGTCAACGAGGGAGTTCTTCCACATACACTCGAGGGGGTTTACAAGCACAGGTTTGATCTGACTTAGCCAAGCAAGGATGGGACGCAACGGGTCGCCCATCAATCCTCCCTCTCCCGTCGTAAGCAGCAAGTCCCAATTAGCACTCGGGAGGCTGATTGTTGCCTCTCGGAATCTCTGAATGCCTAATCTACGATTTTCCTCTCTCGAATACTGCCGCGCCGTGCAACGAAGCTCCTCCCAGCCCCCACAAGCAAATGCATTGGATAGATCTTTCCAAACTCGCAGTGCAAGAACATCCACTTTGCGACCACCGCCAC